ATATATATATATATATATATGTCGTTGATAAAATATATAAGTATATATAAGTTATATTAACTTATTGTAGATAACATCTGTACTAGTCATCAGGTTAAGTTAGATTAAGTTAGATATAAGTGCACTTTCGATCTACTCATGATCATGAATCATTAAAGTTATAAGTCAAAAAATCAAGTTAAAAAGTCAACTTATTGCAGGTAAATAGTTATATCTAAACTACTTATTGTAAATAAATCTGACATCCGGGTTTGAATAATTCTATAGATGTATTGTAGTATCGAAGTTCTTTGCTTTTTTTATTTCAAAAGATAAGTATAATAAAAATTCGAAAGCTATCAATTGTATCACAAGTTGTTCACATCATATTATATCACATTATGTTCATATAGTATCGTAAACTGAATCGTTATTCTATACAATGTTGAAATATTTTAGTTTTCCAAATTGTGATAGAAATATAACGATTTATTCTCCATCTTAGATCTTGCGCTAACATTTAATTTGTCTTTTTTTTTTAGATTGATTAATCGGCAACACAAAGTCTCAAAAATGTTACGTTTCTGTAGAGTTCAGAACCTGGCACGGGCTCGGCTGGCGGTGAGGACCGCGTAATTCGTAAAGTGTTGTAATAATCGGGCGCACGGCAGAAAGTGTGTGGCAACGCGAGTTTCACAAATGGGTCAGCGGGCACCGTGAAGAGGCGATGTATTCAGGCCCGGCTCGTATACATTTGGCAACATATTTATCGTCGCTTACGAAAAAAGTTTTCCCTTGTCCGTCGCGTGGCGAGGGTCGTCTTATTCCCTTCCCACGTGCACGTGCTCGAAGTTCGCGTGAGCCGCAACGAAATGATCGTTTCACCATGTATACAAGGTAAAGTGTTATTGAAAATTACATGTAAAATATCTTTTTTGATGATATAATAGCGTAGAAGATAAGTGTAAAAAAATTACTGACGAGAATGCAAATAAAAATATATTCTTTGAATAGCATTCTTAATTTTTTTTTGTAATTATTTTGTTAATAATTTTAATTTATATAGCTGTCATTGATAATTTTATGATTGCTATCAACTGCAAAGAGAAAAATCGATTTCAACTGTTCGGAATATAATCAAGAAATGAATAACTTGAAATATAGTAAAACTTATTCGTAAGCACAGGTAGAAAATCGCATCACATGGTCTTGTGAAACGGAAAAAGAATTTTCACGAAAAGGTCTAGTGCAACCTTCGAACACGTGCAATATCCGCTTTAAACCCAAAAATTTAAGAACTCATTAAAATATATCCTTTGAGATCCTTCGTCGAAAACTATCCCACATAGCACAAAAAGTTGAAATAACGTCGCTGAGACGTTGCAATGTTGAATGTTGAAGTATAAAGGTTTTTTCAACATTGAATCTATGTTGATTTTGCTATATTGATTGTTAAATGTTGCTATAACGTAGAAACAACATTTAACAATTATTATCTTTTGAAATAATATAATAATTATTACAATAATTATTAATAAGAAATAATAATATAATTATAT